CCCATCCTTACCCTATTCTTGACATCACCCTTTTTCTCCCCCTTATTTTTCAATGTTGCTCATCGAAAGTCTATCCTCATAGAATTTATTTGATCAACAACACGAGCAAGTAGGAATGAATGAATTTAGTTTCAGACTAGTCCTAGCTCTAGCCTGGATGTAACTCCCGCTCCACAGAGAATTAGCCTTCAGTGAAAAATCACTCTGGAAGTCGCTCCCTAAAAAAAAAATCGTCACCACTAGTAGCCCCTTTGCCTGTCGCCACCCGCTGCAACCCCTAGCCCCAGTGGCACCCAACCCCCCTTCCCCCCTTCCCCCTCTCAAGTGAGTCCCAGTCCCTACTGCAAATCGAGCTCAGAAATGCGATGGTGAAAACATTTGCAGGCAAGTGAATAAACTTTAAGGCAACAGTGATAAATGTGGCAGAATGAGTCAGGAATTATTGTAATTTCTAAATAGGGCGGCCTAAGATGCGGCAAAGCCAAATAATTCTTGGAGTTCAAGAGAGTACCGGTGTCAGTTTTTTGTTTGCAGATGAATTTCATTCTGTGAGTCCTGTTCATTGACAAATATCTGTTTCACTGATTTTCATCCGATTTTAATAGTTGACTGAACTTTGACTTGTATAAGTGCAAATTTAAAGCGGGATCTATAAATGATTTTCTTTTCTTAAAACGTTCTGGAAGCTCAGTGCTGGAAACTGTCATAGTCTGCAGTCAGAAAACTTCTCATCGGGTCTTAAATGTTGGACTCTAACGGTCAACGAGGGACCAGTTATGAGACCATCAAGCCCAGCCGGCATTACAGAGCCTGCAAAAAAGGGGGGGGGGACCAGGTCTGTGACCCATGTCGCAAAAGTGGGCGCACCCCTCCCGTTTCCATCGCCAGTGCTCACGGTTCATTTTTAAGGGGAAAGGTTACAAATATCCAAATATTGTTTAACCATTTTGCAATTTCTGGTCATTTTCGGGGGTCCCATGACCACTAAGCATTACGGAGAGAAATTTTCGTGCAAAAATCATCATCCTGTTAGTACTTCTGAAGTAAATGAAGTCCATCTTCATTTTGAAATGAATGCCTGCAGTGCATTCCCTTCAAAATTGGAATATTGAAATACAAAAAAATATCTGCATATATCCGGTCCAAACTTTTAAACCATCCATTTTCAAGAAGCAAGCGACTCTATATGGCAGCAAATCGTGATTTAGTCAGTGTGGGCTATTTTGCGCCCAGTTATTCTTCCTGCATCCAAATTATTCAAAATGCCAAGTTTGGAATATTCAATTTTTGATCCTGTTAAAAATAGCCGTTCATTATTTTATTTTCTACTCGTATGTTTTACATACTTTTTTACTACATGTACATGGTTAATTAGCTCTATGAAAGCTAGTTGTATAGTGACTTCTCTGTCACCTTTGGTATATAATATGAAGCTTAAATTGCGGCGTTGTTAATTCCTATTTTGTGTTTTTGTATACTAGCAAAAATATAATATAGTTTAGGTCCCCAGTATTTTACTGGGTTAGAATGCATTTTTATTTTAGTTTATCATTCTTACTGTGGCACAGAAACCAAATTGCAAAGATGTTACAATGATACAGGATTTTAAAAAATATTGACAATACAGACAGATATAATTATTATAACTGTCAACTTGTGTTTTAGCATGATGTTGTTAGTGTTCTTTTTGGGGGGGTGCAATTGTCCGTAATCTACTGCTTTTAGTTTTAATTTGGTATTTGATGTTTTTGTGCTGATGTTTTGTGCCATGCTGTGCACCTTGATTATGATGCACTGCATAGGGAGTTAAGCCCGAATAACGGGACAAGTTTGGAATATTGGTCGCAGACAGGTGCATTAAATTAAAGTCGCTTCCAGTCGCCCTCCACTGAACTTTGGATGACAAACAAGTAAGCATAGTAAATACTAGAACTATCGAGACCCCCCCCCCAACTTAAGGGTGGCATCCTCCATAGAGGCCGCTGTAGCGCAATGAAAGATTGAAATGGCTTGCATGATTTGAGTGCACTTAAAAATCATGCATGGTGTGACCATGGTGCAACCATGGAGGAAGGAAAATAAAAGTGCAGTTAAATAACTCTTATTTGTAAACCGAAAACGCCAGTAGCTACGGGCGTGCATTCTCAAAAACCACCCATGCGTATCGGAGCATTCGTTGGGTCCTGTGGGCACGTACATGTACATAGCTACATGTACATGTACATGTACGTATAAAACCGTGCACGAAGAAACCGTTATGCCAACAATCTCTGGCTGACCGAATCAACTGGGAGTAAAGCTGCTTGTCATGCTCAACGGCTGTCGAAGTTGCATGTACTCATTCAGCCGCAGCCGTAACTTTCGGGCACAACCTTTATGAATGGAGCTGGCACATGCGCAGTGCATGCAATACAGTCATCCACCACGCACTATATATCACAAACGTACTACGCTGATGATCTACGTGTTTTTCATGTACATGTTCAGTACATGTAAGAGGCTATCGAGCTAGCGCCATAAAAACGTGTAAGGTATTTCCCCATGCTTGCAGAGCCATGTTTGCGAAAGAGATAACGAATATTTATCAGTGTCAAAGGAGTGAATAATATTTTCTCTGCTACTGGACCGTTTCTGCCCGCAATCTGGCGAGAGACAAGACCGTATGTATGTATTATTTCACGGGTATTGTCGAGGTAAGTAAATCATGGTTAACGGCCATTTTTGTATGCGTCAGCAGCATCCATCCATGATCCATGGCCGGCGTGTCATGCCGGTATGGTCACATCAGTAGGCCTACTTCGGTTGTGTCGTGGTCAGTACAGGTCCATAGACAGTGTGTGGCACATTTCTTCCTAGACCTGCACGTTTCGTTTCCTTGCCCCATGCAAGAAAATTTACGATTTCTTGATTTCTGATGCCATAGTTTTAGTAATCCTAACACTTCTTAACAGCAAAGCCGTTTTATTTCCTCATGATAATCCCGATTGATGATTGATAGTAATATAGGCAAGATTTTACAACTAACAATATTGCAGTATGCAAATACTTGCAGCTAGCTGAGGAACATTCGCAAAAGGACATCGTCAGCAAAAAGGTCTACACAGAAAAAAAAGTCATGAGTCCCCAACCTCCAACGAGTCACTCACCTTAAACAAAGTGGCTTATGAAAACATTCTGCAGAGAAGATCGATTGGATTTGGAAATTTGCATGGACGATAGTTGGAGTTCGTATACACTTTTACACGCAAACGCACGATGTCGTATTTATTTTCGTATGGGGAAGTTTATGGAGATAATCATCGTTGATGACGATAACAAAATTTTAAAAATATTTTTAAAACAAGGACATGATCTAGGCCTGCACTTTGTAGCACGTGCAAAGTAGACCCACCTACTTTGTCTTGCACTCAGCTCCCTTAAATTTTCTTGTGAAAGCAAGTTTTTCGAACAGTGTTTATTTATTCCTCGCTTATGCCCACCCCAGTTTTTTTTCACCACACCCATCCAGCACCCACCCTGTGTGACAGATTTTATTTCAATTCCATGCTGTAGACTTCAAGGTGGTGATGTGTATCCGATGCCAGTGCATCGCTCTTGGCAAGCTTCACTGGCGATGGTGCTCCAGGGGTGGTTAAGTCACCCTGTTAGTTATAACCCCACCTCCAAGTTAGGGTAGCCCAGCGAGGGGATTGGTTTGTTGGAAACTAAACTTTAATTACACGAATAAACCACCAACCGGACACAAATCTTCTTGCTCACTGCTCCGGAGATGAGCCATTATGGATGAGACGTTTTAAATTCCCAGGTTTCATGATCACACATTTTCAAGTGCTGTTGAAGGGTTGTGTTTAAGTTGAACGTTGCATTATCACTTCATCCTGTAATTGGCGCTAAATGCACTGTTGGATGAACAGGATATCGATTTGGACGCTCTATTAATAACGTAGAAGGAAACGATCTCCATCCAACAGTGCTAACTCAGTATCTGATTTAACAACTAAAGGAAAGACTGCAACATCCTTATATAATTGTGTACAAAGTCTGTGGAGAGTTTCTTACATTTTAAAAGTATTTTCTAAGAAAATGTTAAACCTTTCAGTCCCAGAGTCAGTTCATTTCAGCACTTTAGCAGTGACTGTCCTTGACTGGGATCGTAACCAAAATTCCAGTTCGAATCAGG